CATGTTGACCAATCGGGGTCTCAAGTCACTAATTGGTTCATCCTACATATTCAGCCTCACACTGACATTTAAATTTGTAGACAAAAGAACTATTTTGAAGGTAGGAAAAAACCATCTTTGAAAAATGAGGGGAAAACCAGACTGGTCCTGAAAACAACACTCAGCCTGACTGCCAAAAAACCTGATGTGACACAAGACAATACTCTGTCATCTAGTGTCTTGACTTTTTCCTACCCAGCCGAGGCAATTTTAAATATACAGGACATGAGGCAGGACCAAAAATGACTAGGCCTTGAAGCATTTAATTTTGTATTCAGTTGTGCATTTGATGACATTCCCAAGATACCTATTGTCATAGAATATATCATAGATTCTTGATCAAATTTACAAGAACATATCATTATCGCAAGGTGGACTGAAGTAGAGATCAGGTTTATCTTATGGAACTTGAGGAGAAAGGAATTCCAATTGGTGTAAAAACCAATGAACATAGACTTCTGGTAAACACTGGTAATAAATGACCCTTTCTTTCATTTAACCAACAAAAAAACACTATTGAAAAAGAGTTTCAGATTTTAATAAAATTAAATTTTATCAACATTTATACCATTGTAAGAGAAAAAGAGTGAACAAAAATATGTTAAAAACATTTAATAGACTAGTTTTAGGAAATAAATGTAAAATCTATTTGTTTAAAATTAAATGTGAAATTTATTCTTTTACAAAAGAAATGAAAAAAAGGATATGCAACATGACGTCTGAAAAAATTCAAGTCTGAACCGACTGTTCGGTTAAACTCTCTTCCCACGGGCAGGAACCTTTAGGAGGCTTGAAAAGAAATAGTCTCCTTCGGGAGGTAAAACTGGCCCTGAACCCGTTTATACGGGTTCAATGGAAGCTATATTTGTTTTCAAAAGAAATGGCTCAAAAATGCCCACACGTTAAAAGGCCTTGTGCCACATGACACCCTCGTGGGGGGTGACTGAATATCATCTGAAATCTATTTGTTTCAGTTTTCAAAAAAAACTTTTTGTAGTAAAATTAAGTTAACAACAAAATAGCGAGTAAAAATAAAAAAAAAAAAATAGTTGCCAGTTTCGTCTTAAGGTTAAATTTTATAAAGTTGGATTTTTGTAAGGGTTTTCTAGTAAACTAGTTTGCCAATCACGAAATAAAGACTAAAGTTATTGTAAACAAGAAAAATGAATGAAGATTTTTTTTATAAATAAATTTGTTTTTTATCTTGGGAATGCACCTAAATTAGATATTAAGAATAATTAAAATAGTTCTTAATTTCACTTTTAAAATAATGTGTATATTTCCAGATATGCGAGTCTCTCTAGTGTAAAAAATTGTTTCTTTTCTACAAATAAAATTATGTTACTATCTAGCTAGTGAATAATACACCTAAAATTAGATACTAAAAAAAATGAAGTAAGTTTTAATCTCAATTTTGAAATGTCTATATTTTCAAAACTGCAAGTCTACATTTTTTTTATTGTCTACATAACATAAATATAAATGAGGTTTGCGGTGTCTTTCCAATAGAAGTCGTTCATGAAAACCAACAAAAATATTGGCTAATACATGACCTGAGGGGACTACCCATCAAAACCTCATTGACTTGGGCATACATGATGTTATTAAAACTGAATTCTACCACCTCCATTGCTAACTGTATAAATTCTAAAAACAAATTTTCAGAAATTATAAGGGAATCCAAATAACCATATAAAAGAACATCAGTATAAATCTATAAAGTACCCTGAAGGGGGACATTAGTGTACAGACTGACAATGTCAAAGGACACCATGAGTTTGTTCTCAGAACACAAATCAGAATTTCTAATAATACTAGAAAATTTTTAATAAAACTGAAGTAATTCAGTCAACCATTTGGCTAACTCATGCTGATCAGAACCTAATCAGAGACAAAATGGGTTCAAGAGGGATACACTCTTCATGTACTTTACATATCAGGATATACTTAAGATTCTCTGTCATTGCTTGATCCATCTTCAAATATGGATATTTAGTCCTGCTAGGGTCTTACATTCTCTTGTGCCGATGTGGCAATTTTGGGTATCATTTATGTTAGTTGTTACATTATAAGCCTCGTTACATGTAATGAATGACTTTTCTCTTTGTGTAGCAGATTTGATGATATTTTTTAGCCCTATTTAGCCAGACACGACTACATTCATCACATGTTAGTTCAAAATCTGTGGGAACATTTTCATGAAAATTAACATAAAGTCCCTTATGAATATCTCTCTTAATGCAATTCTGTTCAAAGCCTCTCTTACAATTGTGTACTGTTTTCTTCCAGAATGAACAGTCTAGAGCTCATTTTTGCAGTCATTTTGCAGTGTGTTATTAATAGAATTTTATACCTCAACTCCAAAAGATATAGGAATCATAAGAACACCTTTCGTTAGAGCATGTTGTCTGCTACAAAACAGTATTTTTCCTATTTTTACATTGCAGTGATGTCACTGTCAGAAAAATGTCCATATAGTTCACCTCTCATCAGCCTATGTCTTGTTATATATATCACTGTCACCCCAGCTGAAGCATATTAACCAATACTTAACTGTGCTCCTATCCACTGTTTGATCTCTGAAATGTTCTGCAAGTGTCAATGAAAATCAATGAATGAATTTTTCTACTTGGAGAAATGCAGTGATACCTTCTGCTTCATACACACTTTCTCATCATCTCAATTTGCAAAACTGCTACTCAGCTTCTACACAGTAAACATATATGGGTTATTGGTGGGAAAGTTCAATACCATCAGCATCTGCTTCTTATATCCCAGGCTAACAGAATTCCCGGGATGTCAATACAGTTTTAATTGATGTTTTAACTTCTCCTCCATATCCAGCCAATAGGCAAAAGTTAGTCATCATAATATATAATACAATGCAAAATAGATTACTTTAATTCCATTTAATATCAATAGTGCAATCCTCTATACATCTTTCATTAATCATTCAAATCAAATGGAACCCATTTATTAAACTATGTTTTTTTTTTTTTTTGGTTTGTTTTTTTTTTGTATATGGTTAAATACTGAAGGCTGTAAGTATATACTAAACATTGTGAAACATTTGGCTTTTGGGCTTCCTTATTTTTGACAATAAATGGCATAGACAATGAAGACTAATGACTGTGTATATTAAAGTAATTGGACTCATTCTTTTTGCTGCTTTTGTACTTACCTTCATGTTTCAACCAATTCATTATTTTTCTTCAGGTATATATGAAAGAAACCTGTAATTTTGTAATGAGTCATTATTATTCCTAGATTTGTTCAGACTGCAAAACTATTCCTTTTTGCTTTTGTTGTTGCTACAATATTTCAACCAATTCCTTCTTCATCCTTCTTCAGGTATATATGGAATAAACCTTCTGAAATTTTGAGATGAGTCATTATTATACCTAGATTTTTTCATACCATGGAACTGTTCTTTTTTGGGTTTGTTGTTGCCATAATACTTCAACCACTCCATTCTAAAAACAATATGGAACTGCCTGTTATATGTGTTAATGTGAATGAGTTAGTCCAATCAGTATATGTGCTCGTTTTCTTTTTTTGTTTGATAAAATGTTCTGGTTTGCACTAGTGAAAAAAAACTATTTCTATAAGGATTGTATATCCAAATAAGGTTATAGAATGACTCAGCCAGAATGATATAATTATAACAAAAGCAACAAAAAAAAAGAATTAGTTTGGTAATTTAAACAACTATTACAATGAGGTGATAGATAGAAAGATAGATATAAAATGTCTGAGATAGATAGAGACAAACAGACAGAAACAAAATGAAAGATATGAACAGACTACACTATTTACATTGTTCAGACTATTGTCCTTATCTTTGTTGCCATATTTATCACAATGTTTCAGCTGTTGTATGCTCTGGCCTTCTTCAGGTGGTTAGTATGTCAAACTGAACCCTTTATTTCACTTGCTGGGGTAGACTGTTCTAGTTCCACGTGCCATGTCTAATGGATGGTGGTTATCAGTTATCTTCTGTTAATTCACAACTCCAAGTTCTCCACCGCCTTAACCAGGCATTGAACTCACACTCTTTGGGTCCTGTCACTGGATCTAACTAACGCCTTTATCCACTGTGCCATGTGTCCTTGAGGACAGTGAAATGTTGTGATAAACAAAGATGAGGACAATAGTCTGAACAATGTAAATAGTGTACATAATACCTCATCTCAGAAATATAGACAGATACTGATGAACAGACTAAGATAGACAGACAGACAAAGAGATAAAGATAGATATAAAAAAAAAACTAAGACAGCTCAGCAGATGACAAGTAAGGAAATAACAAAATGGAAAATCTCTTTAATGATGGATTTTATTCCAGCAAGGAACTTCTTCAGACTAATATCATCTATTTAGCCACCATTAGTTTGATAGATTTGTATATCATATATTCCATATAGAGGCAGATAGAAACAGACTATGATAGAGAGAGAAATAAGATAGAGAGACTGAGTGATATAGATATAAACTGGTGAATATAGATAGATATAAACTGACTAATAGATAGAAACAGACTTAGAGAGGTAGAGATAAACAAACTAATACTGATAGATGGGGCACAGCAAATGGCTAATACAATACCTAGTTTCAAGAGCATCTAAGGTGCTTGTGGGTATAAGAATCCCAAGAGTAGACATGAAGAACCAGATTGACTGCATAACATTCAATAAAAGATTCAGGAATGCAGTTTTACAGTGTAAAACCTATCAAGGTGCTGACTGTGGGAGTGACCATATTTAAGTCATATGTAAAGCAAAGACAACCAAAGCAATGTCTAAACTCCAATATAATAGACACCTGAATGACTCAATTTGCAAAGAGATGTTTGCTGACAGAGTTAAAAGCAAACATAATAACTTAGATGGGGAAAGAAATTCAAAGTGGAATACATTAAGAAAAGCTCTAGTGACATTGGCAAATGAGATCATCCCAAAGAATTAGATAGATATGATCTGACTGAGATAGATAGATAGATATGATTTGATTGAGATAGATAGATATGATCTGATGTAGATAGATAGATAGATAGATAGATATGATTTGATTGAGATAGATAGATATGATCTGACGTAGATAGATAGATAGATATGATTTGATTGAGATAGATATGATCTGATGTAGATAGATAGATAGATAGATAGATAGATAGATAGATAGATATGATTTGATTGAGATAGATAGATAGATAGATAGATAGATAGATAGATAGATATGATTTGATTGAGATAGATAGATAGATAGATAGATAGATAGATAGATAGATATGATCTGGGATAGATAGATAAAAAGATAATTACATATGATCTGGGATAGATTGATATATATGATCTGATTGAGATACATATGATCTGAGATAGATATAATCTGATTTAGATAGATGATCTGACTGAGCTAGATAGATAGATATGATCTGATTGAGATAGATATGATTGAGATAGATATAATCTGACTTAGATATAGACAAAGATAGATATATAGATATTGACAAACTTAGAAACATAGATATGAACTGACTGAGATAAATATGGACAAAGATAGATAGATAGATAGATAGATAGATAGATAGATAGATAGATAGATAGATAGATAGATATGACTAAATTGAGATAGAGAGTGTGAGAGAGAATATATATATATAAATATATATTTCTATATTTTAGTTTGAAGTAGGGTATAATTATAATAGGTACTAAAATTTATGAGCAGAAAAATATGAACTTTTTTGCCAAAAATTTATTATTCACAAATATTATCTGATATTTTGGAATGAAGTCATTTTATGAAGTATGGAGTCTATTATCTTTATTTTTTTGTTTTTATTTTGATAATTTCTTTTTTAGCTGATGAAAAGATATTCTCTGACTTTAATCAGGCATGAATTATATAGAACAGAAGAAAATTGAATATCTTCATCGAATACTTTATCAGATTCAATTTTGTTTTTCTAACTTTTAACCCCATTCAACTTCAATGATCCAAACAACAAAGATTAATTCTGAAGTTCCAGTTTATACCAAAAAGAAAAAAAATGATATTAAACTGTACACACTGAGTTTTGGTATTGTTTTCCAGCTTTTAAAATGATTTTTTTTTTCATAAGTTGTAGTGAATTCATCACTTGTTCTTACATGTCTTTTTTAACTGGCTTTTGTTAAACCACAGATTTGTTTATTTGAACTGAAGATCAGACAACTAAACCCTGGGAAGTTCTTTCAAATGTGTTTCTCACTCGAATAAGTCTTCCACATTTAAAAAAAATATTATTATTACACGTTATTAAACACTGCTGTCACATGACTTGCTCATCACATTTGATATAGTTTTCAAAAACTAACAACACTTTTACAAAATAATGATAGAATCTACTTTTTAAAACAATTTTCTTTTCTCACTTACACTTCCTGATAATGAGTCATTTGAGTTGAAAGCTTTTGACCAATTTATTCACACACAATCACTACATTAATAAAAACACTAAATTTAATAGATATAAAATGTCTATTGATTTTAACAATACAACTTCAAAAGAATAATTGCTGCTCAAATATACAATATATATATATATATATATATATATATATATATATATATATATATATATATATATATATATATATATTATGAAATGGACAAAGTCCGACAATTATTTTAAGATATTTATTATGATTATACGTTCTTTTTATAGATACAAATATTTAAGTAAATGCTCTGTTTATAATAAAAAGTATTAACATTTACCGGCCTGAATGTCCAAGAAATTTTCATAGAAAATATGTGTCCTCCAACAGGAATATATATATACTTCTGAGATCATCTTCAGGGCTGTACATAGTAATACAAAACAGTGCATTGTTCACAGGTGCAAGTAGTAATACAAAACTTTTTTGATATCCATTACTGTAATTTTTCTTGCAATGGTTGACAGTCATGCTTAGTGTTCATTAGAATGGGAAAAAATTATCCACCATGGAATTCTTCTGTGTTGTAATGTCATGGTCATGCGTGCATTAAAGCATGAAAAGCTGTTCTTTTTATAGGCATTTTAGAACATTATTACAGTAGTTGTAGCTGATTTTATTCAATGTCGGCTTCAGTTTTTTAATGAAGATTACTTCAAGGATCTGTAGTTTTAATTTGTTATTTTCTTGGTGTAGGATAGTTGTGTTATCAATAAATATAAATATAGCAATCCCTTATATTGTAACCAGGATGAGAAAATCATAAAAAAACCTCATTCGTACTAATATATCTACCATGGATCCTATTAACAACATTTACCAGCCTGAATGTCTGAGAAATTTCATAGAAAATATGTGTCTTCAACAGGAATCAAACCTGTATCCTACTGTATTCAGGCCAGTAAATGTTGTTAATACTGTTTATTATGAACAGAGTATTTATTTAAATATTTGTGTCTATATAAATAATGTATAGCAATAAAATATATTAAAAATAATTGTTGGACTTAGTCTATTTCATAATATAATTATATACCCACTGCCCCACGCAGCAAGATGTGGCACAAGGCCGAGTTTTAAAGTGGGGTATCCAAGCCTGGAGGCTTGGGCAAAAATTCCTTATAGACCACGTAAAAACGGAGTCAGTTTCCTGAGATGAGACTCTGCCCTTTGGGCATAGCCTTGTTGGGGGGGATACCCTCTGACTTGTGCTAGGTAAGTAACACAACTATCCATTTCATAATATATATATATATATATATATATATATATATGGCTGAGTGGTGAGAACATTCATTTTCTGGCCATGTGACCCAGGTTCACATATCACATATTACCATCGTCAATTTGAGGCAACATCTTGATGCTGTTGACCTGGGGGGGGGATGATGCCATCTTACAGCACCATTTGAAAGTACCTGAAAACCATACCATATGTTGACCCAGGTTTTAGGAATGGAACTGGGTAGACGGGACTGTTTGGAAGCCATCAATACCTGTGCTAGTACAAACTCAGAGGTCATTGTGACCAAGAATTTAAGCATACTGATCACACTATGTTATGCCTTCTTTGCCAGAAAGTGTAACTAATGTCTGTCCAGCATAGTTGCAGTATAAACCATTACATTAAAATTCCACTGAACTCTGTTTAATTAAAAAAAAAAAAAAAAAATTTTCAAAGTATCTCATCTTGAGGTAAATTGTTGTTGGTGGATTGACCACTTTGTGAAAACTTTGTAACCATAATATTTTTTTTCCTTCTCCAATATTTGTTTCCTTTACTTTTCACTTTCTGTTACATTTTATTGTTTCAGATCAAAAAGAGAATTCTATCAGAGATTTTCTCACAAGTTTTGCATCTTAAAAATAAATAAACAATCCTGTTTTCCAAAAAACTGGTAAAAGAAAAATAGATAGGAGAAAAGGAGGAAGAATAGAGAAACAAGTATGAAAAAAAGAGAGAATATATAAAAGAAAGAAACAAAAGAAAAGATAAAGAAAGTGAAGAAAGAACAAAAGGAAAGAAGGAAGGAGAAAGAAGAGTAAAAGTGAAAGAGTAATAAAAAGAGAAAGAGAAGAAATAATGTGAGAAATAAAAAAATAAAAACATTAAGTCAGATAAAAAAAGATCCGTCAAGTGAACATTTTCTTCAAAGCTGATTGGCTGATTGAAATGAGCACATTCCTGTTTAGCCATTACACAGTCATACATAATCATTTTGTTTTCTCAAGAATTAAACAAATTATATTTTGAATCTTTAATTTCACAAAAGAAATTTTTAAAAATTGGAAGTAGAAGATTTTTTTAAATATTTTAAAAAGAGTTTGTTAAATTGTTTAACAAAATGTTTATTGTATCTTAGTGACATATTACTCTGTTATTTTTGTTTCAACAGACTCTTTCAATTTAACCTTGAACAGTTTGTTCTTGTTTATTAATTCTGTACATCATTTCAAAGACATTTTTCACTGGTTATCCAAAACCAATACTATTTCTTTCCTGTTTGTAGTTTTATTATGACTAATTACAGTTTACTTCATAACCTAGAATTATTTTTATGACTTTCATTTATAACCAGAAATAGCATCAAAACCCTGTGTTGTTTTAACACTCCTACACCATAAAACCAGCAGTGACCAGCTGCTCCAACGATAGGGGAGAAGTAGATGATGGGGTAGTGTCCAGACCAGCAATTACCAGCGACCAACTGACTCCTGCAGACCATGTTTTCCACCAATCCACTTGAGGATTCAGGTTTCACTCCCTGCTGCCCATGGATTACTGTGGTTTCAACCGTCTACCCTCAGTTAAGACTTCCTTCTAGTACCAGTTCAACACACCAACTGTCTATCGACCTTTACTGACTGCCTATTTTCCTTTGACACATCCCAAGTGGCTTCGTCTTCATCTTCTGGTTACTAACAACCGTCTGCAGTAAGCTATGATTGTCAACTAGTACTAACACAATACACCAACTGTCTATCAACCTTTGGTACCACTGAAATTGCTCCAGTCATCAACTTGTTGATGCATCTAAGACCAACAGTCAACTACTAGCACGACCACCCAGGGCATTTAAAACATCCAGATTCTTTGATCGTATTTCCTATTTTTCTTGCCAATAATAAATTTTGACATATTTTATCTAAACTCCTTGTTTTTGTTATCCTTGGCCTGAGTCACTTCAATTTTAATGTTTGCAGGGTTCGTCTAACATTGATACTTGGACCCCATATAACAAATGTTATTGTTTTTAACAATAAAACTGAAAAATAATGAAAAGCTGATAATCAAAGTGTATTGAGAAAATTGTTTGAAAATAATTATTTGAAAAACATTTATTTGAATTATAAATTGTTTGAATGAAGAAGAATTGAAAGGTAAGTTATACTAAATAATAATTATTCGAAATACCTAGGTTTGAAATAAGTATATTGTCTTGATTTAAGAGAGTCAATACAGATTTACCTAGAACTAATAACACGCTTAAAAGATGGTATAGGACTTTTTTCAGAAATTGTCATCCCATCATATGGAAATTCTTAGACATGCTTAAAAGAGAATGGGACTTGCAAGAAATTCATATTGCAAAAATATGAAAAAAAAGCAGGTTGCCAAAATATGAAGAAATAACCGTAACATATAAATAGAAGGCTTAAAATTTAGTGGCATCCTTTACTCTTCCGTAGTCACCGATTGTAAGTATAATGTTTATATCATGTTTTATTGTTGTTTTGCATTATTAGAGTTAATAAAAATGATAAACGTATTTTGGCACCCTTCTTTTCATTTCCCTTTAGTAACTTAAATTCATATATTTAGGAACTCCTTGATATAAGAAGCCATTATAAAAAACAACCAAAAAAAAATTACCCACTCTGCTATTAAGTATTATGCAAAGAAAGGAAAAACATTACAGCATAAAAAGGAAAGAAAAATCATTAGAGTATAAAAGGAAAGAAAAATCATTAGAGCATAAAAAGAAAGAAAATCATTAGAGTATAAAAAAGAAAATCATTAGAGCATAAAAAGAAAAAAATCATTAGAGTATAAAAGGAAAGAAAAATCATGAGAGTATATAAAGAAAGAAAATCATTAGAGCATAAAAAGAAAGAAAATCATTAGAGCATAAAAAGAAAGAAAAATCATTAGAGCATAAAAAGAAAGAAAAATCATTAGAGTATAAAAGGAAAGAAAAATCATTAGAGTATAAAGAGAAAGAAAATTATTAGAGCATTTTTATGCTCTAATGATTTTCTATCTTTTTTATACTCTAATGATTTTCTTTCTTTTTATGCTTTAATGATTTTTCTTTGATAGACAGTTGGTGTATTGTGTTAGTACTAGTTGACAGTCATAATTCACTGCAGACGGTTGTTAGTAACGATGTACAGAAAGAAAATCATTAGAGCATAAAAAGAAAAAAATTATTAGGGTATAAAAAAGAAAGAAAAATTATTAGAGCATAAAAAAGGAAAATCATTACAGGATAAAAAAGAAAGAAAAATCATTTGAGCATAAAAAGAAAGAAAATCATTTGAGCATAAAAAGAAAGAAAATCATTAGAGCATAAAAAGAAAGAAAAATCATTAATAAAAAGAAAGAAAATCATTTGAGCATTAAAAGAAAGAAAATCATTGGAGCATAAAATGAAAGAAAAATCATTAATAAAAAGAAAGAAAAATCATTTGAGCATAAAAAGAAAGAAAGATTTGACTGGAATTCAAACTCGACTCTCCGATTCTTCAATCGAAGCTGCTTTTTTGTAACATTGTGTTGGAACAATTCTGCAATCTTTACAATAACTAATAAATTCAAACAAAATGTCTGCCTCAAATACTGTCTGAAGTTTTGTAGATCTGTTATTGAGATCCTTGAAATATTTTATCTCGCTTTTTTGTAAATTTTACTTCAGGCAAACACAAGTTTGTTGAGTGGTGTTTCAAGGCCAGTCAAGTGTCAACTGAAGATAATGGATGCTCAGGACAGTCAATGACACAGACAGAAAATATAGAATGCCTTTATGAACTTGTCCATGTAGCTCTCATTTCTGCAGACTCTGATGTTATTCTCTCTGTTCACTTGAGTGTTCCCTTCTCTAAGTACTCTACTCTTTCCATATCTATACATTCTCACAGTCCTCAATTTGGAGAAACCCAAAACTTACTGTTTCTCCTCGTAGAATATGTTCTCACCTGGGCCATAGTTGATGAATCCGACTCATTAGAATCTGGAGTCATAAACATGGCTTTTCCAGAAACACAGAAGAATTTCCATATTATATGAAATTCCCTTCCTTTTAGTTTCTCCTTACACTCTGCTTGCTGTGTAGCTATATGTGATTTATTGTTCTCTGTGTGAGACATGCATATATACTTTTGTATATGTCTTAGTAGCATAAAAGTCTCTCTGAGAACAAAGCATTGTTTGTTATTCCTTTCCCTTTCATCCATTCTGTTCTGCCCTTGAAATAAAGTGTTATTATATCAGATATAATAATGCCCATAATGGGTGAAATGCAAATGGAAGAATAAACCTTTCTTCCATACTTCTCTCTCCTGTTATGACAGTAACACTTTCATTTTTACTCTGTATCATCCTCAGAATGATAGAACTGTAATGTTTGACTGAATATCTGATAAGATTGATAATATCTTCACTGAATATCCTTCAGCTAGCTTTCATATTTGTGGTGACTTCAATATTCACCATGAAGAGTGATTATCCCACTCAATGAAAATTTATGAAGAATGCAGATACTGCAGAGACTTCTCTGTTGTCTATGTACTAACCCAAATCATTGAAGAACCCACCCACGTTCTTGATCCTACCCCGAAAAATACTTCACCGAAGGAGTTCTGAAAGATCTCCAACCAAATTCTGAATAGAGGCAATGTGTCAGTGCCTACTAATATAACTGACCTGAGGAGGTCATCTCATTCTCATCAGATAAGGCAAGGCTCGTCACCATAATCTTTACCTCTAAATCAATGTTAGCTGACAAAGGCTGTCTCCTTTCCGACTTCCCCTGTCTCATGGAGCACAATATCAGTAATATTTTTATTACAGCCTGGGAAGCCTCAAGACTTATCAAAAGTCTTGACTTTGTTATGATCCAAAATGATGATAATATTGCATCATTCTAAGAACAACCTTTCCACTAGTGATGATTGATGATAAGGATATTTCATCATCCTGGAAATAAAGATAAAAATTTCATCATTCTAAAACAACATGCCACCAATGATGATATAGGATGATGATATTTCAACTTTCTAAAATTTGAAACTTCATCATTATAAAAACGACCCTTCTACCACAAGCAAGGACAGTCAGTAGAGTAGTAGTAGCAGTAGTAAAAAAAAGAACAACACAAACGCGTCTTTTTCATTCAATGAAAATCGACAGTTGATGGTTTCAAATTTTCTTAACCACAAAATTCTTGGAACAAGCAAAAAACGAGTACACATAAACTTTTAAAGAAACAAAAGAAACAATAACACTGAGAACATTTTTAACACACACAATAGCAATATTGTAAGAAGGTTACTAGTTCAGATAAAATCCCAGTGGTTGTCCTTTAGAATATTAACCCAAAGTTAACCTCGATTTTAGCAAAATTATTTAACCCCTGTTTGAAGGTGATCCTTTCCAATTCTGTGGAAGGTGTCAAGTGTATGCTCTGTTTTCAAGAATACGAGTGATCACTCATCACTATCACAGTTTAGACCCATCAGCTTCCTCAATGTCATTAGCAAACGTTTTGAAGCTATATTCAACAAAAAGATTGCTTCAGTAGAGAAAACCTCTTGAGCTACAAACAGTATGAATTTCAGTTGGCTCGATCCACTGCTGATATCCTGTCATTACTCACAGTGAGGCACGAGACAACAATTACTTTTCAGGGACAATTGATTGACAAGGCTTGGCTTGGCATGAAGGGTTAGTGAACAAGCTCTCTAGCTATGGAATTACTTGAAAAGATTTTTCAATTATAAAGTCATTCCTAATGAGTAGGTCCGTCCCTGAAGGTGGTTGATAACAGCCAGTCCCCTGAGTCCCAAGTAATCAACGCAAGCATCCCCGCAATGTTTGCTTCTTGGTCCAACATTTTTTCTACTTTGTATAAATGATCTGCCAACATGTATACTCCGATCATTTATGAATATCTATGTTGATGATACAATGGGTGCACCTCTAAACTCTAGATGACTAGAGATTGGCAGCTGATCTCTCCTCTGACCTAGCTCTAACAGATCAGTGAGAGTAAAACTGGCTGGTCACATTCAATATTACAAAAAATAAACTAGTGACGTTCCGTCATTACCGAGTGGACCCAGACTTTAACTGGTCAGGATAAACCGACGGTCCCTCAAGGAGACCACATGCCTTGGGTGCCTATCGGGAGTTAATCTCAACTCAGACCTCAATTGGAACACGTATATATGATCAGTTGCTAAAGATACTGGAAAAATGATCAGTTCCCTGTACCTCTGCTGTAAGTACCTATTCACTTATCTTCGTAGATCCGTTAGCCAAATTATGCATGCTGGGCGTTAACATAAAGGAGAAAGCGATCCAACTCATTAGAGTTTATGTGGCCAATGACCGTTAGGAGATGGAAGCCTTTGTTTGGCGGATCAATCAGTTTACGATAGCATTGAAATGGGTAGCTTTATGATGGCGTTGAAACAGGTAGATTTATGATGGCGTCGAAACGGGTAG